GACGGCCCTCAGCATCGAAGGAAAGAACGCGAATAGAGGCCATAGCTCAGGCGTGAGGGCACAGCAGAGCAGCGGCAGCAGCAGAGGGGACGCAGCAAGCGGGCAGTGAGGCAGCGGGCGGCGCTGCGAAGCAGGTAGCGGGCGGGCGGGCGGCGCTGCGAGTAGGCAGCGAAGCGGGCGGGCCGCGAAGCGGGCAGCGAGCGGGCGGGCGGGCTGCGAAGCGGGCAGCGGGGCGAGCGGGCTGCGAAGCGGGCGGGCGGGCTGCGAAGTGGGCGGGCCGCGAAGCGGGCAGCGGGGCGAGCGGGCTGCGAGGCGGGCGGGCCGCGAAGCGGGCAGCGAGCGGGCGGGCGGGCTGCGAAGCGGGCGGGCCGCGAAGCGGGCAGCGAGCGAGCGGGCCGCGAAGCGGGCAGCGAGCGGGCGAGCGGGCTGCGAAGCGGGCGGGCCGCGGAGCGGGCAGCGAGCGAGCGGGCTGCGAAGCGGGCGGGCCGCGAAGCGGGCAGCGAGCGGGCGGGCGGGCTGCGAAGCGGGCAGCAGGACGAGCGGGCTGCGAGCGGGCGGCTCGGCGGGCGGGCGACACTGCGAGGGGCGCGCGAGGGCGCTAGTGAGGGGCGCGCGAGGGCGCTAGCAAGGGGCGCGCGAGGGCGCTAACGAGGGGCGCACGAGGGCGCACGAGGGCGCTAACGAGGGCGCACGAGGGCGCTACGAGGCTAGGGCACGGGGTAGCGTGGTAACCGCATGCGAGCGGTGGTGGGCCCTTAAAAAAAAACGGTCGGTAGGTCCTAGGGACCTCCTGCTCTGAATACCATTTCAGAATAGCTAGGCAAGAATGATTGAACTAGCAGAAGTTTGGGTACAAATATGAAACCCTAGTTGGGGTTGTACCCCATATTGGCTACCCCACTACAGCCTACAAGCATAATACAGTTTAACACCCCTGTGCGAGGTCCAATGCGCTAAACCATTGGGCACCCTGGAGGCGATCAAACAGATCCTCAATGCGAGGCAGCGGATATCTGTTCTTAATTGTGATCTTGTTTAAGGCGCGATAGTCGACACACATGCGTAGGCCTCCGCCCTTCTTGTTAACAAACAAGATTGGTGCTCCGTATGGTGATGCGCTTGGTTCAATCCATCCCTTTTTCAGATAATCCTTGATTTGTTGCTTAGCCTCTTCGTACTCAGCTGGACTGAGGCGATACAGAGGTCTAAACGGTGGTGCCTTTCCAGGCTCCACTGGAATGGTATGACCCACAGCGCGGTCTGGGGGGAGTCCATCAGGAATTGGTTCGAAAACCTCCTTGAATTCCTCCGCCAGAGCCTTCATCTGAGGAGAAAAATCCTCGATTTCAGGAGACGATTGTGTGGTTTCCTCTAGCTGTACAACAAAGAGTGTATCAGCTGATTTCGCATCTTGCCCAAACTGATTCGCAAGGGCGAACTGAACGTCGGAGCGATCGAGATGTGTGGCATCAACAATGTTCACATCCCCTGAAACATGCCACCGAAACACAACACCATTTTTAGTGAAAGTTACTGTGTTGTGTTGGAAGTCAAGAATGACCTCATTGGCTCGAAGCCAGTCCATTCCAAGGACAAGGTCTACGCCTGCCAATAATGGGAGGACATAAACGTTAATGGTCTCCTTATAGCCTTGAATTTCCATATTGATACGTGTCTCCCCTTTGCTTGGGATGACTCGATCGTCACCAAGACGAATGGGGCAAGACGGCCCTTCAACGAGGACCCCACGACTTGTGGCTCTGTTTTCATCGAAAAAAGAAACAGCCGCGCCCGTATCAACAAGAATCTTTGCTTCATCCCCGTCTATTCGACCCACCAGCAATAGGTTTTGTTGATGTTTTGGTCGAATGGGGCATGCAACAATGCGAGTTGGTGGGAGGTAGTATGCCCTGACATTATGCTTTGCGCGACCATAAGATCAGCTGTTAGGCCACCACATGTGATATCCCTTATCCCATGCGGCCAGTACTGTCCATCCCTTAAGCATATGAAAATGTTTGCCTTTGATTGTGCGAGTCACCAGACCGACTGAAGTCAATGGGTGCTCTTGGGCACAACGACCCACCAATTCCATTATGGAAGGCAATTCATCCACGTTGCAGCAAATGACAGAGAATTTATCTCTGAATGTTTCGATAGATAGTTGCGTAAGTGGGTACAATCGAGGTAGGAAAACAGAATTTTCACTCAAAGAAGAAGCAAACAAACAAGAGATTTTGCACTCAGCAAGTTTCTCTAGCTTTAAAAGATAATCGTCACGAAGGACGTAAGCTTAATCACCTCGATCTACCTGTCCAGCTAGGTACCCACACCCTAGTTGGACTTGTGAAAATCCTGGCGCGAGCCTGAGGGTCCTGCATCCCCCTTCTTGTTCGCCTACAGCGACTTGCCAGAATCCTCAGCCTTTTTCAGCGTACGGCACTGCCCCTTCGTATGACCCATCTTCTTGCAGTAGGTGCAGAAAGGAGTTCCGTTCCTCTGTTGGCCACCCTTGTGAAAGGGCTTCTTAGGCTGTGACCCATTCTGCTGGCCCTGCGGCTGGAAAGGCCGCTTCTTCCAAGGGCCCTTCCCATTAGAAGGATGTGCCGTATTGTTCTGGCCACTAGGGCCTTCATCCCCGCTCTGCAGGTTACCCTTGACGGCCTTGAGGCAGGTGCGGACGCTGACGTCAAGCTCAATGTCAGCCGTCTTGAGTTCCTTGTACGTAGTGTAGAGGTTCATGCCCAGCACGAGCCTCTCGCGAAGCCACTGGGGTAAGCCTTCGTAGAACGACGACATTGCCTCGTTCTCAGTGAGAGCGACAGTCAGGAGCAACATGGTCCATTCAAACTCATTAGCATACTCCTGAACAGTGCGATTTCCGCACTGCATGCTCTTAATACGGCTGCGCACTTCCAGGTCAGTCTTTTGCACATGGAAAGCGTCCTTCATCGCGCTGCAAAAATCGGACCATCCGAAGGTGGCCGACGTTGCTCCAGCGAGCTTCATAGTGCTGTAGACTGTGTTGCGCGCAGTCTCATCGAGAGCACCAGTAGCAGCAATAACGCGTGCATCAGGGCGCACGTTGTGGATGGAAAGCATTTCCTCCACATGATGAAGCCAGGATTCCACGTTCGTCTTGCCATGAATGAAATTCGGCAAGCCAGTGGGGAGCGACCCAAATGCGGGTGCGCCAGGCAACATCGGCTGCTCTGTTGGAGCTTCAGCAGAAGTAGAGGGCTGCCCATTGTTAGGAGGGGGGCGATATATCGGTCTCCTCCTGAGCTCCCTATACTGCGCTTCCAGCGTCGTGCAAGTCGATTCGAGACTGATGCACGTAGCACTTAGCTGCTGCAGGGTGTCCTCAAGGCTCTTGATCTGGTTGTTCTTGAGGCCAAGAGACCTCTTAAACTGACGAGCCTCGGCGGTGACTTTGGTAAGCTGAGCCTGGATTGTTCCAATAGAAACTTTCTGCTCAGCAACTTGAGCCTCAAGCTCATTGACCCTGCGTTTCTGCTGCAGCAAGGAAGATGCTTGCTCGGCCACCGTGGTTTGAAGTTTTTCAAACTCCTCCGGGAAGTTATCATCCGTGCCGACATCATCAAGCCCAACCTGGATTCCATTCTCCTCCTGGTTTCCCAGTGCTTCTTCCTCTTCCTCAGGAAGGTCTCCTATGCCATCCTCAGCATTAAGGTCAAGGTCTGAAAAGTCTTCCAGTTCATCAACTGAGGTCATAGGGACATCCTCCTTTGATGCTTCCTCATGAGGAGTAGCCATGGAGGAGTGGTTAAGATGAAGCTTAAGGAGAGTGTTTCTTCTTTGTTAAGAAAATATGATCTTAATAGGAGTCTTCTATCACTTAAGTGATAGACAAGAAATTCTGAAAATTTCAGAAATCTTTTAATAGATCAATATTCTCACAAAGAGAAAATTACAAAATAAGAGTTGTTAAATAAGTCTTCTATTCCCAGAAGAAATAGAGAGAGTTCTCCAAAATTGCTCAAAAAGCAAATTTTGAGGAATCTTTTAACAAATCTCTTAGATCTGTAGCACTCTGCTATTATAAAAATAGTAATGAGTCTTCCACCAAGAAGGTGGGCGGAGAAATGAATTCTCTTAAAGCTCAAAGAGCTTTTATATCTTGGAAATCATTGAAGAAGACTTCTTGATCTTTGGAGTTTCTCAACTCTTCTAAAAGAAAGAGCTTGAGACTAATCTAGATCTAAGATCTAGAAACTCCTAAAAAAAAAAATCTAGTTAGCCACACAGGGCCAAGGATAACCAAAGCTCTGAATACCAAATGTAACACGGGCTTATATGAAAATGCCCTTAAAATCACAATAAGGACCCGGGCTTATAAATGAATGCCCACAAAAGGGTCAATAGTAGGCTTATAAAACGCCAAGAACACACACACAGTGTAAAGACTAGTCCTAATAGTAGCCTCAAGTTTTGGAAGCTTGGTAGGTGAAGCCTTGGAAGTCAACCTTCTCGAATGAGTTGATGAAATAACTTCGAGAGAGTTGTGTAGGAAGGCTTGTGAGAGAGAGCCCAAAAGGACTTAGAGAAACAATCCCATTTCCAATTGTTTAGTTGCAGTGGGAGGTTGAGAATGGCCTTGCTTAGCTCAGACCCCCTCAATACACCCCTTGGGGAAACTATCCCAACCATGGTTTCCATGGTGGGATGGCTCCTAGGCTTGGAGCCTATGTGGCAATTGTGTTGGGTTGGAAAACCCAACTTAGAACCATTCAATGGTTGTGTTTAGGATAGAGTAGATTGTAACAATTGTTTGGCAGTTTCTGATTGGTTGGAATTCCAACCTTTGTGATTTCACTTTGATGGGTTGGAGTTTCCCAATCCTCTTGGTTGAGGTTTGGAAAATCAAACCAACCCTTCCATCCCAACCAAAGCCAACCTTCTTCTCCAAGTCCCTCTTTGTCGAGATTACCCTCGACATTTGCCTAGAGGGAAGTTGGTTAGTTAGCTTAGTTAGGGCAATGCGTTACACTAGGTCACGGTTTGCCCTCCACTGGGCTACGCGACGGTGACATTAGGTCACCTTTTGCCCTGCAGGGCAGCGCGACGGCGACATTAGATCACGACTTGCCCTGCAGGGGCAAATCGTGACCTACAAACAGGCGGTGATGCATGGGCAGGGGGGAGTGCGTAGCAGGCGAAAGCACCTGGCTCACCTCCGCCCTTCCCACCCTCCGCCTCTCTCACCCTCCGCCTCTCTCACCCTCCGCCTCTCTCACCCTCCGCCTCTCACACCCTCCGCCTCTCTCGCCTCCGCCTCTCTCTACCTCCGCCTCTCTCACCTCCGCCTCTCTCACCTCCGCCTCTCTCACCCTTCGCCCCTCTCACCTCCGCCTCTCTCTACCTCCGCCTCTCTCTACCTCCGCCTCTCTCACCCTCCGCCTCTCTCACCCTCCGCCTCTCTCACCCTCCGCCTCTCTCACCTCCGCCTCTCTCACCTCCGCCTCTCTCACCCTCCGCCTCTCTCACCTCCGCCTCTCTCTACCTCCGCCTCTCTGGGCCTCCGCCTCTCTCACCCTCCGCCTCTCTGGGCCTCCGCCTCTCTCACCCTCCGCCTCTCTCACCTCCGCCTCTCTCACCTCCGCCTCTCTCACCCTCCGCCTCTCTCTACCTCCGCCTCTCTCACCTCCGCCTCTCTCACCTCCGCCTCTCTCACCCTCCGCATCTCTCACATCCGCCTCTCTCACCTCCGCCTCTCTCACCCTCCGCCTCTCTCACCTCCGCCTCTCTCTACCTCCGCCTCTCTGGGCCTCCGCCTCTCTCACCCTCCGCCTCTCTCACCCTCCACCTCTCTCACCCTCCGCCTCTCTCACCTCCGCCTCTCTCACCCTCGGCCTCTCTCACCCTCCGCGTCTCTCACCCTCCGCCAATCCCCCTCCCCCATTGATGCCCTTGTCATTCTCCAATCCCCCTCACCCATTGATGCCCTTGTCATTCTCCAATCCCCCTCACCCATCGATGCCCTTGTCATTCTCCCTTGAGCTTGCATCCCCATGTCATTCTACCACCCTTTTGGATCCCATTGTCATTTTACCATCCATTTGCATCCCTTTGTCATTCCCCCTCCCCCCTTGCTGCCTCTGTCATCCTCCCAAGAGATTGCTTCCCAGCTACCTCGCGACAGGAGGGAAGCGGCCGCCGGAGGGAGGGTAAAAAGAGCAGCGGGGGTGAATGAGCTCCTTGACAGACCTGAGTAGCTGAGTGATGGCGCGCATAAATGGCTTGAATCCCGTAGCTCCGTGTGTATATTTGTCTTAGACACTCCTTTTGCGTTATTCACAACTGACCATAGTTTGTCTTTGTTGTTAGCTCTCCCCTTAGTGGTGTCTTGTACAAAGAACACAGCTGCGTTATCTACGAGGTGCCTGGGCTCTCTTCGATTTTCTTACGTACCATCATTCGCCCAAGTGTGTCGCACGACCAATGCGGATCGAACCAGTCTCCTCACTGTTTTCCGCACACTTGTCCTCCCCCGATAGCGAGCAAGGTGTACCCGTGTTTTATTACTCTTACTGTTAAAGAAGTACATATTCTGCAGGGAAATCCAGATCAGCGGGCTGCCGCTGTATGCATACAACCACTACACACAACCGCCCATGACTCGAGGCGAGGTCGTGATCCCCCGTGATCCCGAGGAAACAAACTAGTTTGCCCACCAGATCCACCCGACCCTGTCCGCCTGTTCCTCATCGTCGTTCATGAAGCCTCATCCTCTTCCTTCTGCTTTCCCATCCCTCTGGCAGGTCGTCGCTTTCCTTCCATCCACCCGTCCAGATCTACCACGCTTTCCTTGGCAGTTTAGTTCCTTACTTTTCACGGCTTCCTCCCACTTCGCTTTCTCGGCCCACACTGATCTCTCACGCAACGGGGATTTGACATGGGAACCAGGGGGGAGGGTGGATGACAATGGGTAGCAGCGGAGATGATGGTCTGACAGCAGTAGCAAGAGGATGAGGGAATGACAACGGTAGCAAGGTGTAGGGGAGGATGACATGGGTCGCAAGGAAGAATGGTAAGTACCCCGACACATTGCAGGGGGGAGGGTGGATGACAATGGTAGCAAGGGGGATGAGAGAATGACAAGGGAAGGCGTTAGGTATGGAGAATGACTAGGGTCGCAGGGGGAAGGGTCCTTGACGCCGAGGCAAGGAGGAAACGTGGCTGTCAGGGTAGGCAAAGTAGGGTTGAGCTTGGGGGATGGGGAGGGCTGGACAGTGAGCAGGGGGAAAGAGAGTGAGCAGGGGGAAAGGGAGTGAGCAGGGTGAAAGAGAGTGAGCAAGGGGAAAGGGAGTGAGCATGGGGACAGAGAGTGAGCATGGGGACAGAGAGTGAGTAGGGGGGAAAGAGAGTGAGTAGGGGGGAAAGAGAGTGAGCAGGGGTGTGTGAGAGAGCACAGGACAGTGCAGCAGTGGTGTGTGAGAGTGCAAAGGACAGAGGGACTACGGGGTATGGGTGAGCAATGCAGCTAGGCAGCAAGGTGTGTGGGAGCACAAAATCAGAGGTGGGAAGGTGACTGCTTGTGTTCATACCTCCCCCCGTCTCATCTCCCTCAGCCCCCTTCCCACTCGGCTGATCCGCCCTGCGCTTGCCCCCCCCCTAGCGACCCTCCATCTGCCCTTCGTCACCACCCAAGCCCCTGGCTCTCTCCACATTTCCTCTCCCTGGCCCTCTACTCCCCCGCGTCGCAGTTGCCACGGCAAAAACCACTCCAGAAACATACGAATAAGAACAGTAACCCAACGCCACATTTCCCCAATGTTAAGTAGTGGTCGAAATGTTGGAGACGAGGGTTACTTGACGTAATGTTCATCTGCTACCAAGTCTGGTAAGGCATGAGATGGGTACGGGGTGCACATCGAAAGTGAGCATAGGTGTTTTCGTGCGCCTCATCCGCGCCCACCGACTGCTTATTCCCCCGCGACCACTCTCCTTCCGTTTCCCCCATGTCCACTGATCGGACATCCACCTGCGCACACTCACTGCTCATTCCCCCGCGCCCACTCCATCCTCACTACCCCGCGCCTGATCACCCCTCAGGACACGGTGCCCACACTCTGCTCATTCCCCCGCGCCCACTCACCCCTCATTCCCCCGCGCCCACTCACCCCTCATTACCCCGCGCCCACGCACCCCTCATTACCCCGCGCACACTCACTGCTCATTCCCCCGCGCCCACTATTACAACACTCCCCCGCGCCCAGTCTCTTTTCATCATGCAGCACCCACTCTCCTGTTATTTCCCCAGGCCGCCACCCCTGCTGATCCTTCCTATGCTCACCTCTTCGGTATCGCTACTCATTGGTATCCTTGTCGCCGTACTGCGCCGCGACTCGATGAGATTAAATACTGGGTGAAGGCCGTGACTCAGCCCCGCCCGCGCTCGACCAACCTCGCTGCAGATAAGAAATACCCTTCTTGATGTGTTATGAGCATGAAGATAAACAGCCGGCCAATACACAGGGGGAGAATGACAATAGGAGATAGGGGGAAAGGAGGATGAAAAGGGTACCATGGGGGAACGCAGAATCTGACGGGTAGCCTGGGGGACAGGAGAATGACAGGTGTAGCAAGAGCGAATGGAGAATGACAAGGGTAGCAAGGGCGTATGGAGACAGCCAAGGGGATTAAGGGGGTCGGGATAATGACAAGGGTAACAAGGGGTAGCAGTCTGGATGGGACCCTGAACGGGGTAGTAAGGGGACGGGGCTGGACCGGGTGGACGTCGGGGAAGGCCATGGGAACGGGAGAAAGGGTAATGGCAGGGGGGACGGGAAGGGGTTGGAAGCGTGCGGGGAAACAGAGTGACCCGGGGAGGTGAGCCGGAGAGAGCAAGGTGTGTGAGGGTGTTACTGCTGCTTGTAAAACCTTCAGCTCGCAGGGCAGGTTGTGGGTGCGTGGAGGGGGAGTGGAGTGCGATGGAGAGTGGTGAGGAGCTTCCGTACCGTGTGGGGACAGGAGTGGGCGAGGTGGAACACAAGGGCGTCTGTGTCAGCCGCAGCAGTAGAGAGGTGGTGGTGTGTGAGGGATACTGCTGCTTGTGAGAGAGAGAGGTGGAGGGCGGTGAGGATGAGGATGAGGGCGGCGAGAAGCCAATGGTAAGAAGGGGGCAGTGGGAGAGGTGGAGGACGGTGAGGGAGGGGTGGGCGGGGAGGTGGGTCAGGGGTAGTCACTGCAGGTTGGCGGAGAGCAGGGGGGAAGGCGTGGAGCAGCGAGGGTTGAGGCGAGGGTGATGATGCTGCCCCACCCTAAAAGATGGCGCGAGTGAACCAGCGACTGCAGGGGAAGGGGCGGAGGCGGGGGTGGGAAGGGGATGTTGGTTGTGAGGAAAAGGGGCGCATCGGTGCTGATGCGTAGGCGCCCTTGAAGAGTCAACTGTAGGGAAAGTGGGTGGGGGCATGGGGGGGAGAGGGGGAAGTGAAAGGCGACGGGAGGGGGATGTGAAGGCGACGGGAGGGGGATGTGTAGGCGACGGGAGGGGGATGTGTAGGCGACGGGAGGGGGATGTGTAGGCGACGGGAGGGGGATGTGTAGGCGACGGGAGGGGGATGTGTTGGCGACGGGAATGGTCGTTCATGCGTTATTTCTTCGGAAATGTGCCGCGTGGAGCTCCGCGTGAGGAGATTGGAAGTGCGGAGCTTGTATAGTGGCGTGCGGGAAAGGTAGTGATAGCGTGGGGGATGGCGCGCTAGTGGCGGGATACGTCATGTGGCGACATAACGCGACGATAAGACTGAACGCGCTGCGATCTAGTTGGGGAATTGCAATATGCCAAGTGCTTGATCCGGCTACTAGTTACTCGCCACGCATGAAAACGACAGGTCGGGTGCGGAATGACGTCCATGGAGTGCGCCTCACGTTTACTAGCTACGGCGTTATGGCGGCTGATACTCGCAATTGATTCGACCGTCCCTGATTCACGAAAATGACGAGTGAAGCCGATACCTAAGTTGCGCGCATGTCCGACGGGTTAGAGACGCCGCGGTTTTACGTGCTAGTACCCTAAGCAGAAGGGTATGTTGGAGAGTTACGTGCTTATGAACACGGAGGCATTTTACCTTAGTGGTACCTCGTGTTGGGCAACAGATGTCGACCAACGTCGCACAGGTTGGGAAATCGTGGGCGACGACGGTGCGACAGAGTCACAAAAGCTGGTAACCGGTGGGGATGGGACCTTTTGTCGCGAGTATCGTTTCCTTATTTCGATGCATACATTTCTCGCCTGCCAATCACGTCTTCCTTCCCAAACAAGCTTCCTAACCTTGAAAGCTGTGGCCCGCGGGTTCCCCTTAAGTGATTCTTGCATTTCGCTAAGCTTTCGTCAATTCGCACTTAGCAAAAAGGGCTTATAAAAAAATTCGTAACTTGCTGTTGAATGTTTGACTTCAGTCTCTTTGGTCAAACTTTGGTTTCTGTGGTTCGAATTGGTTCAAATCACTGCAACTTGCTCTAGGTGCTTGTAAATGGGGTGCAACTTGCTGGCGCAAAATACACGGGTGCATGCTTTCTTTCGCGTGCAGGGCAAATTCGCGTGCAGGGGTTGAGCATCATGTGTACACATGATGCCCAGCCGCTGCACGCGAATTTGGACCCCATCTTTCAGAAAGCCTGCACCCGGTTTTTTTTTTCTACTAGCCAATTGCACCCACTTTACAAGCACCTCGCACAAGTTGCAGTGATTCTGAACCAATAGTAACAGAGATACCGAAGTCAAACTGAAGAGACCGAAGTCAAATGTCAACGGACAAGTTGCAAAAATTTTTTATAAGCACAAACAAATCCTTTTTTACTAGCTGCATAGTAACGAGATCTTTGCGAAATGCAAGGATCACTTAAGCGCCCTCTTCACAAGGCAACCATGGGTGACTCAAACGAGCATCACGTGTACGAAGTGCTACTGCTCCTCCTCGCTCTCCTCTCCTCTTGTCCCTTTCGGATCGTTTCATTGACTGGCAACCAGGGCTATTGCTAGGATTTCTGCGAG